TGGGATCACCGGGAAGAAGATGAACTCGAGTTTTGGCACGGAAGGCACGAGGTAACGGAGATTCTGTGGGGACGACTGAAGCACCGTGTCAAAATATGGGTTCTCCTGGTTGTAGATTGGGGGGAACGGCATGAGCATCTCAATGATGGTGAAGATGCATATGTAGAAATCGTCATAAATGGAGCTTGAAACTGAGGTTAGGCATGAATGTGATATGAGAAGCAAGATGATCCGTGAGAGTGTGGAATGAATTGAAGAGGACATTTTCCCTAGGAGGGTATGTGTTGTTCAATGCAATGTGCTCAACAAATAGAGCATCTCTAATGGCTTCATAGATGTGTTTGAGGAATGGAGCAATTTTTATGCGGCGTGCTCGTGCTCGTAACGTGGGGTTGAGTTAGTGCAAACGTCAGGATAAGGTTCACTCGTGCGCACTGAATTTGGGTCCTACGAGGTTCTAGAAACAGAGGTTTTTTTTTAAGTGGAAGGACATTTTTCTTTGATCTTCATGAATGAATCTTAGTTATTTGATGAATGGGCTTTTATTTGTAATATTGCGAGTGTAAACAAAAATTATTTAACAAAGGGGATTAAGGCATGGAACTTATAAATAGGATTACATAACTTAAAAAAGCAATTGAGTAAAATGTACAATTGAATCTAGTAGTCCTCGTATGTGATGGGACAAGCAATTGAGTAAAACTTTTAATATTTCAAAGAATTGACTTTTCTCATGTTGATTATTACCTCGACAATGAAAACATTCCTCGTGATATATATCTAACAATTACTTCTAGACACTCGTTGTGATATCACTAATTATATATGATATGGCAAAAAGTCGAGTAGAGTTAGGACTATTCAATTAAATACTGTGTGAGCGCTCTATTGAGAAGTTCACACATTGACTAGCCACTGCCATCGTCGGAACCGCCTAACAGACCACCATCATCGTTGATGACTTGCCACCACCGTCGCGATTGCCATTTAGTCGCCAACCTTGTCATCAATGTCTCCATCTTCTCTTGGCCACCACAATATAGAGAGAGAGAGAGAGAGAGAGAGAGAGAGAGAGAGAGAGAGAGAGAGAGAGAGAGAGAGAGAGAGAGAGAGAGAGAGAGAGTCTCGTCACCTTCCGATTATGGTGTTTGCTCTGTCTCCTTTGCATGAATAGCCGCTTTTTTTTTTATCGCATTTGTTGAGTCGGAAGCGACGAACAGTAACGTTTGTGGCCTTTGAATGTCAAAGACAACAAAATAATGTTGTCCTTCTCAAAGGTGACAAAACTCATTCTCTATGGCCATAGAGTAGCCAAAGGCAACAAAAAAATTGTCGCATTTGTTCGTACCCCACAAAACTTTCACCTTCCTTTACTTCCACCTTCTCTCTGAGTCCTCTCGAGTTCGTGTTATATCCTGGCTGATGCAGCCAATGAAGGTTCCGGCTACATCTTCCCCTGTCATCTTGCTTCTCTGGCAAAAAAAAATTTTATAACCAATCTTTGGCAGAGCTGTTGAAGCTCCTTGGAAAAGTTCGAACCCGATGCCGCTCTTCATCCGGATATTTGACCATTTGCAAATTATAATCCAAAAACCCTAGTTCGTGCTTTGATACCAATTGTCGTTAAATAGCATGGAAACTAACGGATCTTGCAATCAATTACCAAAAGCGAGTTGACAAAATTATCAAAGAAATAAACGAGAAACAACAAAAAATACCGACAATTTACGTAGTTCGTTCCGAGTGTTGATACCCCTACTACACGGTGAGAGTCAGTCATAAACAAAGCACCATCAAACAAAGAGCTATAAGGTCACAATTAATTGCTCAATGGCTCATCAGTTTACCAAAACTTTATATATATATATATATTAATGGGAAAAAGTCATAAAAAAATCTCAAATTATACTTATTGTAACACATTTACCCAAAAAAAATTTTGTGACACTATAAACTCCAAACTTATACTCGACTGACACGATTACCCTTTGTTAGGGTTTCTATCAAAAATAGCTGTTAAAAATCCGATGTCTCCACATCAGTAAAAGATTAAAAGAAAATTTAAAACTAAAAAAAGAAAAAAATTCGAATTTACTATTCATCATCTTCAACCTCGAGATCACTCGGCCAAAGCTCCTCTGGGACTCATCCATCGCTGCCCAATGCTGTCTGGTGGCGTCCGACAGCGTTCGTCGGCCCTTGCTTGACCACCTGTTAGATCTGGCCACGGCAGCCACAAGCGTCGGGGTCTGATCTGGCTTCAAAGCTCACAGCCACCATGGCCACTAAAGCTCGAAGTTTGGCCTAAGGGTTTGCGAATTTCGTCGGCTTCGCGAGGGAACGAGTAAGACCTATACTTCCGCTTCCCGAGGGGCGGGACTGTGGGGGCGGCAGAGGTGGAGGTGGTGGTGGTGACGCTCTCACATGAGGAGCACATGATGAGGGTGGTGGAGGGGAGCTGCATGTAGAAGGGCTAGGAGGTCTTGAGTGCCCGTAGCTCCTGGAGCCTCCGGCTCTCCTCTGTCAGCGTCTCGCAACACCACTTCAGGTACTTGCAGTCGATCTCCGTCTACTTCAACTTCGTCCTCGCTCTTCTGTTCCGGAACCACACTTCCATTTGGCGAGGACGCAGATTCAACTGTTTTGCCAAAGCTAGCTTCTGTTTCTGCAAAAGCCAAAAAAACAAACAAATAAACAAACAAACCCATCAATAAGATCAACAATGGTACCTCATTTCTTCTGTCATTGGTTCTTGTTTGAAATCGTGATCCATTTTCTCTAAACAATCTAGAAATTACTGGATGAATCTTGCAATAGTTGAAGACAGCTGAAGGATCGTAGAAGGCCAGCTTGGCAAAGAAGAACATGCTGGAAACTATTTAAGAATTGGTGATTTCCCAAGTTTGGAAGAAAAGAAGAAAAAGATCGCTAGAATGCTATAATAATGTGATCTTCTAGGCGTGATAGATCTTAAGTAATAAATCTTGATGATTATACTCGGAGATAGCAAGGTCGAAGACTAAGCTGATTTAAAATTAGATATTGTGCAATGGAAAAAAAAAAGAAGTTCAGAATGCTGATGATGAAAAGTCATTTGAGACCGAAGATGTAGTACCATTGAAGAGAAAGGTATTACGATGAAACTCAAGATGATGCTTTAGAAAGGAAAAGGGTCGGACTTTCAAGTATTAGATAACAAAATTTTAAGATTTCACGGATACTTTTGTGTACATGATAATGTCGATTGGAGAAAGGAAATGTCGATAAAAGCTTATTGCAATCACTATAGTATTTTTGTTGAGCAAATGTGGTCAGGATCCTCCATATATATACTGGATTTCAAGATGATTGTGGTAGAAGAAAGAGTAATCAAGGTGGAAAGGTCAGTACGAATTTTGGATAGAAAGGAACAAATCCTTAGAGACAAGATCATTTCCTTAGTTAAAATCTTATGGCAACATCATGATATGGAAGAAGGAACGTGGGAAAGTGAAGATGATATGAGGTGCAAGTATCTACAGTTATTCGAAGGATGAAATAACTCTAAATTGCAAGGACAAATTTTTTTTAATGAGAGAAGAGTTGTGACATCCTGAATTTTTCATGTTTGATAATAATATTTAGGTCGATTTCTACCATGTAATCGCCCATAGTTCGAGGCGTTAGAGTTCAATTGGTAAGTGTCGACATGTACTTTAGTGGTTTAGGACGATGGTATTTAACTCATCCTGAAATTTCTATATTTGATAATAATATTTAGGTCAATTTTCTACCATTTAATCGCCCATAGTTCGGGGCGTTAGAGTTCAATTGGTAAATGTCAACGTGTACTTTAGTGGTTTAGGACGATGGTATTTAACTCACCGCCATATTATTTGTAGAAAAAGGGGCCAGTACATTTTGAAATTCATTTTGATGATATTCAAATTCTAAATTTATTGAATTAAGATTTCCTAATTTTGATATCTTTCATTAATGATTTTAGTGGACTCAAAATATTTAAGACTCACCAATGTTCAGAATCAAATGTTTAGAATGAATATCGGTTTCCTAAATCTCTATTTCTCTTCAATTGGCACACCATTTAGTAATGGAGAAATTACAAATCAATATGAAAATTACTAGTCATATTTTCTAATTCAGTAAGGATTTCGTAAGTTACGAACTAATTGGGATAGATTTAAATTATTTTTTCAGTTAAGAAATTACTAAAAAGTCTAGAAATTACTAAACGTTATAAGAGGAAACTCACTTTCGTAATCATGAAAGCAACTTTCTTATATATCGAAATAACTTAATGTGTTTAGTAACTTTTAATATAGGAAAGTAACCAATCTATGTGGCTAGTGACTTTTGGTTTCCCAATAATATCTTCATGTGATTGATTATTCTATTTTAGACCAGAATAATATTTAATATACTTAGTAAATTTCAACATAGAAAAGTAAAGTACATAATTTGGAGAGAAATTTTTCATTTACATGTAACAATCATTTGTAATTAGTAATTGCATACACCATGAAGCAATTTTCAATATGTTTAGTAAGTTATTCCATGGATTATATTTTGTTCAATGAGAATGTCGTGACATAAAATTGATAAATTTCGTGTTCGACACACTTTGACTCAACAAGCTTCGGACCAAAGTCCAAAAGGCCCAAGTAAGAATTCTTTTGGAGCCTTCACAAATGGACCGAGTCCCATTCAATGGAGAATAAATCCCTCCCACATAAGGCCACAACTCCAGAAGGTGTAATAGGCTATTTCAGAATCGACTTATGGGTGTGTTTTCGAGATAAATTTCATAATAAAGGAAATGTTTTTAGGAAAAAAATTTATTCAATTAAGCTCAACAAGCCCCCAACCCCTCATAATGGATTTACGTTTGGATATTTATGTCATAGTGCGAAATGGATCATGTTAAACATTCCATCGTGCATGAGCTAGGCTACTATGAATGAAATCTCATTTTTCAAAATTTGGAATCTAGAAATATAATCTGGCCTCTACAATAGGATGTGAATTGTGATTTACCTCTTAAAAAGATTCCAATCCCATGGCCATTACAGTAGAATACGGGCTTCTACATATAAAAGACAACACTTACATATTTCTGGAAAGAAATGATTTGTCCGAGCACCACTCCATGACAAAGCCAACACACTAACCTTTTACACACATTAATACCCATTTTGATAGGTGGATTTTTAGGCACCTAAAAAATCCCACCATCAGAATGTCACAAAAGACAATCAAATCGGCACAATGTGCCAACCCCATTTTCTCTTTCATCAGTCTGTTATTCACTTCCCCCTCAGAGAAAGTGGCAATGGTGGGATGCTCTGTTCATGCCTGAAGAAGTTGTCCGGGTCGACCTTGGTCTTCACATGGACCAACCTAGCAAAGTTGCCCTTGAAGTATTGGAGACCCCAGGCACATGCCTGTATGAAGCTTGTCCCATTCTTGTTCATGCCCAGGTCAAGGTCCCTATAGTTCACATACGCCTCTCTAGGAAGCTTGGACACATAAGGGGCCATGTAGTTGTAGAGCCTCCCGATCCAATCCATGTGCTTGGTGGCATCCTCACTGGCGTTATCCCAGAGACTCAGGTACTGGATCATGAAGATCGTGCCCTTGCGGTGCGGGAATGGTGCTGAGGACTCTGAGATCTTGCTCATCATCCCGCCGTATGGTGTCCATATCACCAGCGGGCTGTCCTCCTCCACCAGTTTCTTCCACAGCCCCTCCAGGGCGCTCTCCGGGATCGGGTCCCGGACGAAGTCTGACTTAGCCTTGAAGAAGTTCTTGAATCTGGACTTACCCTCGAGGAGGACCTCAGGCAGGGTCCCGTTAGGGTACCCGGCCATGTACAGGACTGATTGGATCCAGCTCATTTCGATGCAGTCGTTCCTTGTGAGGCCCAATTCGGGGAAGCTCTTCTGCATCACCCTGAGGAGTCGGTTGGCGGTCCCTAGGAAGAGGGCGTTGTACGATGTGCTCACAGTTCGCTCAGCTTTGCCTCCACTGGCGCTTGCCACTTGGATCAGCACCCTAATGAATAGGTTGCGGTCAAGCTTGTCCACGACCTGTTGCCACCGGTGCAAGAGCTTCGTCGCACCTTGTTCCAAAGTCCTAGTTACCGTGAAGACAGTCACCGTTGAGGGGACTGGTACCAACTTTATCTGCCACTCGAGGATTATCCCGAAGCTTGCTCCTCCCCCTCCTCTAATGGCCCAGAATAGATCCTCGCCCATCCCTGCCCGATCATGGATTCGGCCATCCGCATCAACAATCAGAGCATCGAGCACATTATCCACCCCGAGGCCATACTTTCTCATCATAGAACCGTATGCCCCACCAGTGATGTGTCCCCCAACACCAAGGCTTGTGCATAGACCTGCCGGGAAGCCGTGGACTGGACTCTTCTCTGCAATTCGGTAGTAAACTTCCCCTATCGTGGTCCCCGCCATGACCCATGCAGTGTTATCTGTCAAATTGACATTCACGTAGCGTAGCTTGCTCAAATCCATAATGATGAACGGGGTTTCGATCTCGGACACGTAGGACAGGCCCTCATAATCGTGCCCCCCACTCCGGACCCTCAGGTGGATCCCGAGCTTCTTCGAGCAGTCAACGCCATACTGGACCTGCGTTTCGATCAACGGGAAGAAGACGAACTCGGGTTTTGGCACGGAAGGAACGAGGTAACGGAGATTCTGCGCCGACGACTGAAGCACCGTGTCGAAATATGGGTTCTCCTGGTTGTAGATCGGGGGGAACGGCTCGAGCATCTCAATTTTGAGGGTGATGCACATGGTGAAATCGCTATAAATGGAGCTTGAAACTGAGGTTAGGCATGAATGTGATATGAGAAGCAAGATGATCCGTGAGAGTGTGGAATGAATTGAAGAGGACATTTTCCCTAGGAGGGTATGTGTTGTTCAATGCAATGTGCTCAACAAATAGAGCATCTCTAATGGCTTCATAGATGTGTTTGAGGAATGGAGCAATTTTTATGCGGCGTGCTCGTGCTCGTAACGTGGGGTTGAGTTAGTGCAAACGTCAGGATAAGGTTCACTCGTGCGCACTGAATTTGGGTCCCACGAGGTTCTAGAAACAGAGGTTTTTGTTTAAGTGGAAGGACATTTTTCTTTGATCTTCATGAATGCATCTTAGTTATTTGATGAATGGGCTTTTATTTGTAATCTTGCGAGTGTAAACAAAAATTATTTTACAAAGGGGATAAAGGCATGACACTTATAAATAGGATTACAAAACTTAAAAAAGCAATTGAGTAAAATTTACAATTGGATGTAGTAGTCCTCCTATGTGAGGGGACAAGCAATTGAGTAAATTTTAAAATTTTCAAAGAATTAACTTTTCTCATGTTGAATATTACCTCCATAATGAAAACATTCCTCATGATATATAACAAGTACTTCTAAACACTCGTGATATCACTAATTATATATGATAAAGCAAAAAGTCGAGTAGGGTTAGGACTACCCAATTTAATACTGTGTGAACGCTCTATTGAGAAGTTCACACATTGACTATTGTGCCAACATCTGAAGATTGTTCAAATTCTTCCGCCAAATCCCAACTCTCTCCGTCTTTTTCATTTCCTCCCTCCCTTCATGGCTAGCCAATGTTGCCATTGTTGGAACAGCCTAACGGAGCACCATCATCGCCGATGACTTGCCACCGCCGTTGTGATTGCCATTTAGTTGCCAACCTTGTCATCAATGTCTTCATCTTCTCTTGGCCACCATAATAGAGAGAGAGAGAGAGAGAGAGAGAGAGAGAGAGAGAGAGAGAGAGAGAGAGAGAGAGAGAGAGAGAGAGAGAGAGAGAGAGAGAGAGAGAGAGAGAGAGAGAGAGAGAGAGAGAGAGAGTTGTCACCTTCCGTTTATGGTGTTTGCTCTATCTCCTTTGCACGAAGAGCCGCTTTTAGCCACCATAATAGAGAGAGAGAGAGAGAGAGAGAGAGAGAGAGAGAGAGAGAGAGAGAGAGAGAGAGAGAGAGAGTTGTCACCTTCCGTTTATGGTGTTTGCTCTATCTCCTTTGCACGAAGAGCCGCTTTTAGCCACCATAATAGAGAGAGAGAGAGAGAGAGAGAGAGAGAGAGAGAGAGAGAGAGAGAGAGAGAGAGAGAGTTGTCACCTTCCGTTTATGGTGTTTGCTCTATCTCCTTTGCACGAAGAGGCGCTTTTATTTATCGCACTCGTCAACTCGGAAGCGACCAACTATAATGTTTGTGGCCTTTGAATATCAAAGACGGCAAAATAAAGTTGCCGTTCTCAAAAGTGACGAAACTCATTCTTTATAGCTATAGACTAGCCAAAGGCGACAAACATTTGTCGCATCTGTTAGAGTCTATGACGACCAAAATTGGTCGCCCTAGTTAAGTTTTAGGCTAAATGGGCACCAAAGGCAACAAGAAATTTGTCGCGTTAAATTTCCGGGTTTAGCATGCCAACGAATATTTTCATCTTCGTCGCCCTGGACATGGTTTTTTGTTTCTAATTGGAATTTGATTTTATAAATATTACTATTTTAGTATGTGAAGATTAGATTATAAGGATGAGTGGTGGGGGTGCAGCATGTGGTAAAAAAGGGTCGATTCCTAGACCTTCATCCGTTTTGAGGGAGTGTCGACTTTGTCGTCTTCATCAAACTTGGAAGCCTTTCCTTCTTCTGCATGATTTCTTTCATGTTCATGTCTCGTGAGGCTTCCCTTTACCAAATTCGGATAATTTCACAAGATATGCACGAGTATGAACCTGGCGTCGGAGGATTTGAGCAGGGCGAAAATCTCTTGATAGTTATCGGACAAGCAAAAACCCTAAATCAACTCCAACAATCCTAGTTCGTGGTCTAATACCAATTGTTGTGAAATAGCATGGAAGCTAATGGATCTTGCAATTAACTACCATATACGAGATTGACAAAATACTAAAGACTTACGTAGTTTGTTTCGAGTGTTGGTACCTGCTACATGGTGAGAGCCGGTCATAAACAATGCACCATCAAACAAAGAGCTATAAAGTCACGATTAATTGCTCAATCGCTGATCTATTTCCTAAAACCTAATATATAAATGGGAAAAAGTTATAAAAAATCTCAAATTATGTCTATTATGATATATTTACCCCAAACTTTTTTGTAACGCCAAAAACTCCAAACTTATATCCGAGCAATATATTTACGATTCGTTAGGCTTTTGTCAAAAATCACCGTTAAAAATTTGACGTGGTGCCGATGTGGTGCTACACGAGCGCCACATTATTAAAAGATTAAAAAGAATATTAATACCTAATAAAGAAAAAAATCGATTTTACTATTCATCATCTTCAACCTCGCTATCACTCTACCAATGCTCCTCCCGCGCTAGCTGTCGGTGCCAATTGCCGCCCGAACCTCCTAGCCCGAACCTCTCGACGGCGTCCAGCATAGTTCGTCGGCCCTTGCTTAACCACCCGCTAGATCTGGCCAGGCGGCCACCAACTTTGAGGTATGATCTAATTTCAAAGCTTGCGGCCATGGTGGCCGCTCAAGCTCAAAGCTTGGCCTAAGGGTTTGTGAATTTGGTTGGCTTCGCGAGGGAACGGGTTAGCCCTACGCTCAGTTGGGGCTGGTGAGTTGACCGACGCACGCCAACTATGTCATCGACTTATCTCCGGGCTTCCATACAAACTTGGAATTGGCAAGAAATTGAGCAATATAACAACAATTCGTAATCGTGGTTCCTAGTGACCTAAGCCGAAAAACATACGGCTTTACAAAGTTCACTTACACGTCGTGGAATCCAAAATCATTTACTTTAGCTTTTGATCTTAAATCAATATTGACTATATTGTGTTTGCCAAGAAATGACCATTTTAGCTTTTGATCATTAATCAATATTTACTCTCCTTTCTATGGTTCCAAACTTATGCTTCCGTTCTCTACCAAATGCCCCATGGTTTTTCTTGTTGATCTAGTTGTCGGCCACGCTACTCTTCCACTTGAAAGAACGAATACGAGGAAAGAGAGGGAATGGAGACAATTTGGCCCGCTACTCTTCTACTTAGAAGAAACTTTGTCGTAATAGATTCAGATTTTGCATATTTTGATGTCACGGTGCAAAATGGATGATGGACAACATTCGAATCGAACCCATTTCTAGTGGAACATGGACTTCTACATTCGAATCGAACCCGTATTTTGATTGTAATTTACCTTAAAAGATTCTAATCCATCGCCAATCCAGTAGAACATGGACTTCTACATATCAAGAGAACGTTTACATATTTCTAGTACAATTACATCCATCAAGAGATCACACGCCAACCCACAAACCTTTTACACCCCATTATAATTTAGTGTTCAGGCACCTGAAAATTCCCCTACCAGAGTGCCACACGAAAACCAATCGAACCCACCACACACAACGCTTTCAAGGGCCAACCCCATCTTCTCTCTCTCCTCAGTCTGTTGTCCACTTCCCCCTCAGAGAAAGTGGCAATGGTGGGATGCTCTGCTCATGCCTGAAGAAGTTGTCCGGGTCGACCTTGGTCTTCACTTGGACCAACCTGTCGAAGTTGTCCTTGAAGTACTTGGCGCCCCAGACACTGGCCTGTATGAAGCTTGTCCCGTTCTTGTTCATGCCCAGGTCAAGGTCCCTATAGTTCACATAGGCCTCTCTAGGAAACATGGAAACGTAAGGGGCCATGTAGTTGTAGAGCCTCCGGATCCAATCCATGTGCTTGGTGGCATCCTCGCTAGCATTATTCCAGAGACTCAGGTACTGGCTCATGAAGATCGTGCCCTTGCGGTGCGGGAACGGCGCTGAGGACTCCGAGATCTTGCTCATCATCCCGCCGTACGGTGTCCATATCACCAGCGGGCTGTCCTCCTGCATCAGCCTATTCCACAGCCCCTCCAGATCAGTCTCCGAGATCGTGTCTCGGACGAAGTCCGACTTTGCCTTGAAGAAGTTCTTGAATGTGGACTTCCCCTGGAGGAGGACCTCGGGTGGCGTCCCACTTGGGTACCCAGCGATGTACAGGACTGATTTGATCCAGCTCATTTCGGTGCAATCGCTCCTCTTGAGTCCCAATTCGGGAAAACTCTTCTTCACCACCCCAAGGAGTCGGTCAGAAGTCCCTAGGAAGAGGGCGTTGTACGACGTGCTCACAGTACGCCCGGCTTTGCCTCCGCTGGCGCTTGGCGCTTGGATGATCACCCTGATGAATAGGTCCTCATCAAGCTTGTCCACCACTTGTTGCCACCGGTGCAGGAGCTTCGTCGCATTTTGTTCCAAAGTCCTAGTCACTGTGAAGACGGTCACCGTCGAGGGGACTGGTACCAACTTTATCTTCCACTCGAGGATTATCCCGAAACTAGCTCCTCCCCCTCCTCTGATGGCCCAGAATAGATCCTCTCCCATCGCTGCCCGATCCAGGATTCGGCCATTCACATCGACGATCCGAGCATCCAGCACATTATCCACCCCGAGGCCATACTTTCTCATCATAGAACCATATGCCCCGCCAGTGATGTGTCCCCCGACACCAAGGCTTGTGCATAGACCTGCAGGGAAGCCGTGGATTCGGCTCTTCTCAGAAATTCGGTAGTAAACTTCCCCTATCGTGGCCCCCGCCTGGGCCCATGCGGAGTTATCCGCCAAATCAACACTCACGGAGCGGAGCCTGCTCAAGTCCACGATGATAAACGGGGTTTCGATCTCAGACACGTAGGACAAGCCCTCGTAATCGTGCCCCCCGCTCCGGACCCTCAGGTGGATCCCGAGCTCCTTCGAGCAGATGACGGCGGCCTGGACATGGCCTTCGATCAGCGGGGTGAAGATGAACTCGGGCTTCGGCACGGAAGGCACGAGGTAACGGAGATTCTGCGCGGACGACTGGAGCACCGCGCTGAAATTGGAGCTCTTCTGATTGTAGAACGTGGAGAGCGGCACGAGGAGCTCGGAGTTGAAGTCGAGGCACTGGACGAAATCATCTTGAATGGAGCTCGAAACCAAGCTTAGGCACGAAGGTGAAATGAGAAGCAATAGGATCAATGAGAGCGTGGGATGAATTGAAGGGGACATTTTTCCTGGGAGGGTATGTGTTGTTCGGTGAAATGGTGCTCACTGCTCAGCAGATGTTGCGTCACTAATGGCTTTATATATGTGTATAAGGATTTCAGACATTTTTATGTGGCGTGCGTATCATCGTAACGTGGGAATGAGTTAATGCAAACGTCACGCTAAGGTTCAGTCGTGTACACTCGAATTTTGGTCTTACGTTGTTCTCGAAACAGAGGTTTTTCCTTTATGGTAGCACCGTGGCTCCAACATACAAGGAATTGGCCGGTGCCAACATTGTTCCATTACTGAATGTAAACAAAATATCATTCCACGAGCATGATTAAGGCACGACACCTATAAGTCGGGTAACTTAGGGATAAAGACATCGCAAGGGGTATAACTTTTGCACACCCAATTGGTAATATATTTATGATTACTACTACTTATATTATAGAACATAAAATCTTTTTTATAATAAGAGAGTAATCTTAAACTTTTTATCAAGCGAGTAATATGATAAATACATTGAATATTTGGCATTGGCAGAAGACGTGAATTGAATCGAAAAAGAAGTAAGTCGTAGGAAAAAGACGTAGTATTAGTGCCATTTGTCCTATATGCGCAAATAAAAATCGAGCAGATTTTTTTACTCGGAGTAGAGTATAAACCTAAAAGAATTGAAAAAAGGCCCATTCTGGAACAAGAAAATGACATCATGACTTGGATTAGATCTCGATGAAACAATACATCAATGAGAAGTTTATTTGATAAGTTTAATGGATTTTTTTTTGGAGGGAAATGGGACAAAACCAAAACTCGCTTAGTTGAGTGAAATAACTTTTTTTTTGTCTATTTAGTTGCCATAACTTCTAAAAAAAATTCTACGTAAATACCATAACTTTCGATTCATCACTTGAGTGCCATAACTTTCTAATAGTGTTCACCCAAGTGCTGGAAATCCGACGGAGCAAGGGACTGGTGGTGAACATTTTTTAGAATTTATAGTGCTCAAGTAATCGATCGAAAAATTATATGGCATTTAAGTGATTGAAAAAAAAGTTATGACACTTAAGTGAGCTCCATATCTAAATTATAGAACTTAAGTGATCGAAAAAAAAAATTATGGCACTTGTGATGTCATTTTCCTGGGTAACTTAACTTAAAAATATTATTATGTGGCGTCAATTTAATCATCTTTATAAACGAATTTAGTAGTCCTCCTTTGTAAGAGGACAAGCAATTTTGTCGAAAATTTTTAATTTTTCACAGCATTAACTTTTCTCTCAGAAAGGAGACATTATTATGTTTGGTAGTAGACATGCTAAATTGAATCTGGATAAGCTGAAAACTGTAAAACCTACGAGGGTCGGGACGAGTTCCACCAGGTCAACTGAATAATTCCCTGTCAAAATGAGTTGTTCAGCTTTTCACTTTCGAATTTTTTATGTATATTTTGTGCTTTTCTAGTTCCGATGCTTTTGACTTTAATCATCTGCAAGACTTTCATGGTGAGCATAAAGTACCGTTAATTGCGACAAGATTACTACAAAGATAAATCAATTTCAGCATAGGAGCAAAAGGAAGAAGAATAAAGGCATTAGCAAGCAATAAGCAATAATGGGTCATTATGTTCCCTGCTAAAAGATGGCACCAATATGCTTTGCATAAAAAGGTGTGTCCTTTTCAAAAATCAAAACGTGAGACTCTTCAGTACTTAAAGCTCCGTTTGTTTCGCAAAAAAGTTTGATTCGTAAAATATTTTCATAAAAATCGAAGATAATTTAAGTTTAAATATTTTTGTGAACGATGAAAATATTTTTCGAGATATTCATTTTTATAAACAATACAAACTATCATTTTTAGAGAAATATTTTCCAAATTGATTCATTCTCGCGAAATATACAGAGTCTAAATTTGCCCTAATCCAATTATTCATCTTTCGCGTTATGGATAACGGCATTGCTTTTGCTTCGAGGCTTTGGAAAGATTGGTCCAAAAGCAATTTCACCCAGAAATGCTATCGATGGAAAAGTTTCTAATCACAAAAAGATTTGCCCATATGATGACAATGCACTGCATCAGTGATACGTCAACTAGGGTTTGGAGCGACGACGTCTAAGATCGGCAACTAGGGTTTCTTTTCCAATCATGTGTTGCTTCTCCTGCTTAGCGTAAAAGTCTCATTAATAGACAAAATAGGAAACGCCCCTTCACGGGCAAGTCCAGGAAATGGTACCTTAGGGGTCAAATCGTTTGGAGAAGCAGCTTGATTAAGAATTTTAGGATCAATTGTTGGTGTCTTTTGTCGAAAAACAATAAATCAAAAGCTATGAATATTGAGATAAGTGTATCAGAAGTTCTAAAATTTATTATTAAAGTGCAATTAATTCTTGAAACTTTCAAAAAGTGCAATTAAATCTTACAACTTGTCACGACGGTGCAATCGAGTCCTGAAATTTTCAAAAAGTATAATCAAGTCCTAAAATTTATCAAATTAGTCAAATCAAGTCTTTCCGTTGTCCTGGAATCTGAAGGAGATATTCCTTCAGATTCTTCAATTTCTGGACCTCAAGTCCGGACTATCTACCTATGATTTCCTCCTGCTGGCAAAAAGAAGAAGTTAGAGGATCATGCATGTTTGCAGTAGTGACAAAGCTCAAAAAGCTGAAACAACAACTCAAGAGCCTGAATAGATCTCAGTTTGGTGACTTACAAGCTAAGGTAAACCAGGCTAAGGAAAGCTTGTATCAGATTCAACAAAAGCTGGTGATTGACCCATTCTATGCCATCTCTCGGGCGGAAGAAAAAGCACATTTGGAGGAATTTCTGGCTTTAAGTAAACATGAAGAAATTTTGCTCAAACAGAAATCCAGAAATCTTTGGCTAAAGGAGGGCGACAATAATAGCAAGGTTTTCTTTGCTTCCATGATGCGAAGAAGTGCTCATAACAGGATAAATCATCTCATACTTGAGGATGGATTCATTATCTCTGAAGATGGGGCTCTTAAGAACACAATCTTATCATACTATCAAGCCCTTCTTGGTAGTTCCAGGGGACCTTGTATCCCTTATGAGAGGTATGTCCCTTTTTTTCATGAAGATATCAATGCTTTAGTTACTTTCACACCACCCCAGAGAAATGATATTCTTCGAGTCCTAAAGGGTTTCAATGATTTCAAAGCACCGGGCCCAGATGGTTTTAACAGTCGTTTCTTCAAAAGTGCTTGGCCTATCATTGGACACGACATCGAGGAAGCTATACTGGATTTTTTCTCGTCCAAAAGATTATTGAAATCTATAAATTCCACTCTGATCTCTCTTGTCCCGAAGGTTCCAAATCCCTCATCCCTCAAGGAGTTCAGACCCATATCATGCTGTAATACCTTGTACAAGATCATATCCAAACTCCTTGCAGAACAAATAAGCGGAATGCTCCCCTTGATTGTTGATCTAAACCAAACGGCTTTCATCACCGGATGACAAATCTCAGAAAATATCCTGTTATGCCAAGATTTACTTCACAACTATCATAAGGGAGATAAAGGTAAACGTGTCGCCATAAAAATAGATCTCATGAAGGCTTCTGATATGGTCAGATGGGATGCAGTCATCGGGGTCCTAAAAGCTCTAAATACACCCTAGGATCTGGTTGAATTGATAAGTGAGTGCATTACTACCCCGAGGTTTTCAGTGAATTTTAATGGCGAACAGGTAGGGTATTTCAATAGCACTAATGGGCTGAGACAAGGTGATCCTCTTTCTCCATATTTATTTGCTCTAGTTATGGAAATTTTCAATAGAATTGTAAGAGCAAAAGTTGCTGGTTCTTCCTTCAAATACCATTGGCGCTGCAAAACGCAAAGGATTACACACCTTTGCTTCGCTGATGACTTGTTCTTATTTGCCCATGGAGATGTAGACTCTGTTCTATGCCTGGTAGAAGCTCTCGAAGAATTCGCCACTCTCACTGGATTGTGGTTTAACCCTGACAAATGCCAAATATTTTTCTCTGGGTTAAATGAGGGAAAGCTTCTTATATTGGACCATACGCCTTTTCCCGCAGGTACTCTCCCTATCAAGTACTTGGGTGTTCCTCTTATTACTAAAAGACTCGCACACTCAGATTGCAAAAGCCTTACTCATAAGATATTCAAGAAAATTGAGAGTTGGGGAATGAAGCATATGAGTTATGCGGGTCGGTTACAACTAACCAAATCGGTCCTTATATCTATCTGCACGTACTGGATGCAAATGTTTCTTCTTCCGAAGCAAACTATCTATGAGATTGAGAAGAAGATTCGCCACTTCCTATGGGTTGGGTCTTCAACAAACCGTGGATCGCACAAAGTTGCATGGCGTGTAGTATGCTCACCCAAAAAGGAAGGAGGGCTAGGATTGCCTGATTTGAACCTATGGAACAAAGCGTTATTAGGGCGCACAATGTGGAATCTTATCAATCATCCATCTTCTTCACTTTGGAGCTCCTGGGTCCACAGTACAAAATGCAGAGAAACCCCATTTTTGCAAATGGACATGAAGGGTAGTATGGCCTGGAGTTGGCGATGTCTCCTCAAACTACGTCATGTCCTAACCCCAGCCATGTCTAATCCAAGATATTGCTGTCATGATGTCTTGGATGAACTTAGACACGAGAGTCCGGCTGTGGAGTGGTATAACTTAATATGGAGTAGCGGCGTTAGCAAACACAATTTTATTGGTTGGCTAGTATGTAGGGATAGGCTTCCGACAGCAGAGATCATATCACGGTGGATGACCTCAGTCGATGTTCAATGTATCTTCTGTAGGGCAAGTATAGAGAACACGACTCATCTTTTCTTCCAATGCGAATGGACAGGTAGCATCTAGCGCAATATTCTTGCGCAACATGGGATCGGGCGTAATGTATGGGGATGGAATGAGGAGCTTCAATGGATGGTTAGAGCAACAAGAGGCAAAGATTTGGCAGCGAAACTCCTCAAAGTATCTTTCCTAGCGACTGTATATTGTACTTGGATGGAGCGCAACCATAGGCGGTTTCAAAACAATCCAACTGACATTCAGATTATTTTGGCAAAGGTGCGGAAAAATG